TGGACTGGGATCCTCAAAGTGCTACCGTACTTGAGAATTAAGGCAATTCGAGGTGCTTTCAGCTACTTTCAAACAGAAATACGAAGTTTTCTAGTATTCGTGTATAAGTACTGTAAAAACTCGGTGTTGTTTGAAGAAATAGCCGATGACAAGCCGTTCTCTTGAACTCGAACCACCACTACCTACACAATCTTGAATCTTCGCGATACCTTTTGCCTCTCAAAAATTATCCTCATACCCCACATCCCTGGGTCAACTAAGAAGGCAGTGCGATACTTTTGGAATCTGTGATGCCTTCTCCAATGAAATGCGCGCGCTCAACGTCCATGATCATTTCCAATCCCCATCCAATACGTGTACGTCTTACATATCCTCTTACATTCATCTCCTCATCTTTTCCAAAAGGCGGATTCTTTCAAGTCCAGTCGTTCGTCCAATCTGTTCAATTCGAAAACGGTGCAGAGCCCGCCAGTCATAGAAATTGAACATGTACAGTTCGATGACACGCCTTTTTCTGTGAGCTCTTTTTGTATTGATACTTGCTTTCTTCTCGCTGATATCTCCAAGCACTCCTTTTTGGAAGTATTCGAGTACTACTTTCAAGACAACGCGTCTTCAACACCGGCGATATGCGAAACAAACTCGGAGGAAGCTGTTGAACTCAAGGAGTGTAGGGATATGACCGCCGAGATAAGTTTTAATGTTGAGGTGAGCTCTCATTCGCCACTCTTGACCAAGATCTCGTCATAACTCTGGTCTTTAGCAAATTACTGATTTGGGTTCTATGTGGATTGATGACGAGATTGATGTGTGTACTCTGGACTTTGCTACCCGATCGCTGTCCTACACTTACTCTGGATACAGGAGATTGTTGTCATTACGCCAAAAACTACCAATCACACCTTGCCATTGTCCACTATTCCAGAAGATACTTTCCATTCTCCATATTCGGATTTGACCATAACATACGAAGTGAAGCCGTATTCTTCCACTGTCTTGGTTTAGATCTAACAAAGAATTCAGCAGACCTCAAACTTCCGCGAAATGGTCGCAACTTTGCCAAATCTTGATGACTTTGATTTTCCCCATTGCCCCAGCACTCGAAAATGCACGTGTTCCACCTGTTTTGTCCGTCATCGGAATACTCGTCAAGTGTACGCTGTAAAACGCTTCTCGCCCAGTGACATGGTAAATGAGCTCTCTATCTTGGAGATGCTCAACGAGCATGATAAGCCGTTTGTGCCCAAAATTCGCTGGCGAGTCTTTGACGAAGAGGGCATAGTCCTTGTTATGGTAAACAACCACTCTGCCGAAGGCAACGTAGTGCTAAGAACTCCTTTTTCCAGGACTGCTACCCCGGTGGAAGCTTACTTTATTATGTATTGCAGGAAGGCCCACTAGAAAGCAATGATCTGTTGTTCTATGCCTCGGAAATTGTGAGCGGCGGCGATCGGCCTTTCGTGACTGATTCTTATGCATTCTTTTAGGCCGAGGGACTCTCCATTCTTCATGACGCTGGTATTCGACATCGCGATCTAAACCCAAGAAACGTGATGATTGGTGCTGACGGTCATATCGTTCTCGCTGGTTTCGAATATGCCCTTTCGCCCCTGCGAAAGCACAGTTCTGTCGTGCCGACTACAAACGATTCTGGGCCCAGACAAGTTCCTGCTCGAGAAAATGAATACCGCGCACCTGAGGCTTTGCTTGGATGGACCGAAGACGAAGCAGTTGATTCATGGAGCTTTGGCTGTTTGGTATATTTTTTGGTGGTTGGAGAGGTGAGTTGACACGCGGGCTCGCCGAGAATTTTTTTCTGATGTCACGCTCAGCACCCTTTCGTTTTTGAGTTTCAGGAGCCTCGCAATAAGGTGCTGAGTAGAATTCTATTCAGTGAAGAGTGGTGGGATTGCGAGGCGCGGTTGGAGCTCAAGGATCTAATCTCAAAGGTTTGAATCCTTCTTTACTGTTCTGGATGTCAACTCATCCCCGACAGTGCATAGAGTGTAATCCCAAGTTGCGATTGGACATTCGTGGTATCAAAAACCATCGTTATTTTGCTTCGGTGTCAGTTTTCTCAACTTTACCCATTATGTAACTCATCTCCTTTGATACAGCGATTGGATGGAAGTCAACCGGATGAGTATCCCAGGTGCGAAGCGTATTTTCCTGGACTGTCTGCCTTGCTCATCAAGGATACAGCACCCTACATTCCAAACTATCACAGTATCAGCAAGAGCACGCTTGGTATTCCTTCCAAGTCTGGCGTAGCTAAGACGACCACGCCCATTTCAACACCCCCGTTATTCTCAAAGACTATCGAAGCCATTTTTCAGCCGGCTCCTAGTGAACCGATACAAGAGGACTCTGAACGCAATAACCGTCTGTCAATCGTTACTACCTCAAACCAAGACCACAAGTCTTCGTCAGTTTACTCTCTACAGGCAAGACACAGTGTACAGGACCTTCTTCCCAAGATTTTCAGGTCGCCGTCTCTAGATGAAGATGCCCTGGAAGACAACAAGACACGGCTTTCGCATCCTAAAGTCATCGAGTCTCCTCCTGTTATCAGAGCACCGTCATACGAACGCTTGAAAGCTCAGCAAGATTTGAGTCCCGAAGAACGTATGACGGTGTTTTGGGATACTATAGACCAAGATGTCAAGATGTCCAAGTCGAGGAACTGGTTTGGAAAACCTACGATCGCCAATGCACTACCTTCATCACCCTCGCCTTCACTGCCTTCTTCACCTAATCTTTCATCGTCCATCTTCGATTCCGATTATCTTAAACCTCGAAAACTTCGCAAGCAACGTTCGTCCATCATCACATCCCAAACTCAAAGAATTTCACAACTGTTCACACGTTCATCCATGTCAAACCTTTCGCCAAACAAGCTTCCCAAGATGAAAAGGACAAAGAGTACGCCGGTCTTCCCTTCCGTCGATCCCACCTTGGAGATGCACAAGATCATCGAAACGAATGAAGAGCATGTTCATGAACAGTCAACGCACGAGGACAAGGAGATGGAACCTCTAGATTTGCCGAGTGGTATTGAGCAGATTGGGAGTGGGATCGGGTTCACTTTCTACAACGTTCCAGATGCCAGCAAGACGAAAGCTTCCATCTGTTCTGGTCAAAACATGGCGGGAATTGGGAGTGGATCTAGACTTGGTTTGGGGATAGGTCTCGGCTTTGGAAACGGACATGGTCGCTTCACTCCACGGAAGAGCAACCTATTTGGAGGCATGCTCAAGTCGAGATCAAAAGCAAAGCCGGGAGACGTATGGCAAGATGAAGTAGAAGGTCGGCGATCTCTAGCTCAAAGCTTATGGTCCAAGCGAGGGAAATCGACCCGCTGGCCTCCGCAAATGACACCTATTCGAGAAACGAATGAGTCAGAGTCGGACGCACCCAGGAGCGAGAGAGCCGGTGTTAGTATAGACGCAGACACCCAGCGCGATGTTTTTCGCTGTGGTTCGACTTGGAGTATGCTCCCTGATGCGAGCAAGGAGATATTGCCTGGCGTGGTCTGTATCGGCGATCCCGAAATTTCCCCCATGACTGCAACAGACTCGACCGTCGGTAATTCGCCGTTTTCGGAACTGGGACCTCTTGAACCTGGAACAAGGGTTCTTTCCGAATCTTTGAAGGATATATTGCGTGGGGATAGGACCAGGGAGGGAAGAGACACAGAATCTTACTTGGATATGGGAAGGGCGACTTTGAGGTTGATTGGTTCGACTTCGTCTTTAGTTCTGGGGACTCGACGTGATTGATATGTATTCGGACATCTATTTGTCACTCTGGAACCTGTTTTTGTTGGTTGTTTCTTTGTCTCTTTACATGTAGAACTCGATAATGTCTTTTCGTGTATGTGTTCTGTTCGCTTAGGGTTACTTCCGGTACTAGTTTTTGTAGCTTCATAGAATTCTTGTTTTGAAGTTATCCATGACTCTCACTGGCCACTCCTGAGGACTTGAGCTTCAACATTTCAGCGTCAACGTTCGCTTTCATTTAGAAATCAATACAGCTGCATGGTAAGTAGAAGTCGCGAGGGAAAGATCGGATTTTGTACCCCACTGCCTTTTGGTTGTCGTCAACTCTGACCAGTACTCTTTCTGCAGAATCGTCATCTCATTGTGCGTTCTTTCGATGAGACCCCTGACCCGAATACTAGACAAACAAAGGGTCTGTTGCGTTGACCGCGCTTGCGGTCAATCGAACGGCCAGATCGTTAATACTCTGCGTCATTTCTACGATTCTCGGCCTTTGTGCCACTCGGTGTTTTTGCGCTTGCTTGGAGAGCTTGTCTACGAATCGTATAAAAGCAGGAGGTTTTTGCTTCAGCTTCCCAGTTAATCCCATCTTCACTGCACTCAAACAAACTTCCTCTCAATCCTCATTAACCATGTCTTCAGAGCAATTCAACGTTCGTTTCTTCATGATTCAGGATGACCTCGTAATTAATCTGATTCGTCTTTCAAGGTCGGTGACCGTGTCGAGTACCAAGCCATCGGTGGTGGCAACGTCGAGAACTCTACCACTCACGGGGAGATCACGGGCGTCGTTCACAGCAAGGAGGAGGCTCAGGAGTCTGGTGTCCAGGCCAATGTGGGGTTTCTCAATCAATTCCGTTTTAGACGTCCGCGTACCTAACGGTTCATCAATTATAGGCTTCTCAAGATGATCCTCGATATGTCATTCGCAACGACAATGTGCGTCCTTTGCTTTTCCCCCGTTTCAAGCATGCTCACGATGCATGGATCTTTGATATAGACTGGAAAGGAAACGGCTTACAAGCCCCAGAACATAAAAGCTGTCGAAGAGACGGATTAATACTCTTGAATGCACCGTATCAGTCCAATTCGAAAGAGCTTTTTACTATTCTCATTGTGTCCAAATGTTGTATATATGACAAGTTCAATCCGGTTTTGATTTCTGTTTCCTTTTCTACAAAAATGTGTGCCATAAAGTCATCATCCATCATCATAATGAAGGGTCTAATAGTGTAGCGGTTAGCACATGGGATTTTGACTGAGAGTTTCCCATAACCCAGGTTCGATTCCTGGTTAGACCTCTGAATGGATTGATCGCTCTTTTTAATTCGGTTGATCTCGATGGAAGCTGTAGCTATATTAGGGGGTATCAAAGCAGTAGATCACAATCTGTATGTTGATAATAGACTGGTAGGCAAGTTGTGATGAGTCAGAAATCTACTATGTAGGTAGGTAGGTAGGCTACGCGGGTACCGGACTTGCGCGGAACCATAAAGGTTCACCCGGTGACGACAGCTCGGTAGGGGCAAACGCGTGGTAGACCGTCTACCCAACTGCCGCCCTGGTTCTGCAGGTCACATAAATGTACACCAGCAGCCAAAAGGTGCTACAACCAATGTAGCGGTGCGAGCAGAGATAACAAAAGACATTAGTGTATACAGCGGAACGACTCTTGAAGCTAAACGTAAATGAAAAATGAGTGTAGTACTATACAAAGGCCAACAGGGAGACATTAAAAAACCTCGGTGAGGAAAAAGTCTGCCACTGCGGGTGCGAAAAGAGTAAAAATCTATAAGAAACAATACCAGAGTCCGGCCAACAGGGAGACATTAAAAAACCTCGGTGAGGAAAAAGTCTGCCACTGCGGGTGCGGAAAGAGTAAAAATCTATAAGAAACAATACCAGAGTCCATCCACTCCAATTCGCTATTCATGCTCGTCTTCGTGAGATTCATCAATACGAGGAATCTTGCAACAGTGCTGTTTCCGGGTCCATTTCCATAGACCTCAAAAAGGAACCCTATGTGAATTGGGGGGATCGGTTTGGCAGGTAATGCACTTCAAGTCATGAGCTTTTCTGGATTTTGGATGTGGGGATGGGTAGATTGTGGACGATCACCTCCATAAAAGAAAAAGAAACTGACAATGCAAATGAAGAGGAAGCCTTTACTCAAATTGTTGGGACCCTCGCCAGCTTTCGATGGCTACTTGGCGCAATGGTAGCGCGTTTGGCTTCGATTGCTGACGTCACCAAAAGGTTGCAGGTTCGAGTCCTGCAGTGGTCATTTTTCAAGCTGTAGTTTCCTGCTTTTGTCTTTAGGGTTTCCGCCAACTTTTTGCAGTGTTGGAACGCGTAGTAGTTTTGCGTGAATTCCAGGCACTGGAGCGCAACACCCCATGCAATTCGCCCTTACCGACCGACTATTTGTCTAGTGGAGATAACGAACAAACTGTATTCGAACCCTTCTGAATATAAAATTCTTTACTCGAAAGGATCGCGGGACTCTATCATGAACGTATCTTGATAACAACCTTCTTTTAGCACCTAGGTAGGTTCGCGGGTGTCGATCCGGTTCCGGACATTCTATTTTAACCTCTTTCTTGAACTCGGAAGCCTTGAAGTCGGGACCAGCGATACGGCTCTACCTCGACCAAATCCAGCCCTGGTTGGCACGTTGCAATTGACAGGCAAAAGCTCAAACAGCTTCTCTCTTGCTTGGACTTTGTTTCAGAGTTGCTTCCAGAGTTCTCCTTCAAAGAACCTGGATCTTTCTCCTCCTGGCATTCAGGCTCTTTCTCGTTCTCGGGCGCGTGTGCCGGTACTTACTTATATTACCCTAGATCGGACTTGGACCTCAGGCAGACAGGTGCCTCTCTATCTGCCAATGCAAATGGCAATTTGAAAATTCTAAAGCCCCGAGCTAAGTAGTACTACTAGTGGCCATGGCCTGAGGAACTTTTTGGTTGGCAGAGACAAGACCTGACGTTGGCACACAACTGTCAAGCATTCGTGGTCTGGACTCCGACGATGACAGGCAACGAGGCGGATGGAAGCCTTCCATCAAGGAGGCAGAGTATGGATGCCCAGCCGTAGCGAATACCTCATGATCATCCCATGCTCAAGGAACGCGAAAGGAGCGTTACGAGTCAAGCATGTATAGGGATAGTGATAGTAAAAGGTAAGTTCGTAAGACTTGTTCTAGTTGCGGTTTGATGTGTTCCGGAATATCAGGGCCTAAATTAACCAATTTTGCCACGTCGATCGAGTCGTCCGAACGATTCTCTACTTTGAGATCGTCAGAAGTAGAAGAGGTTTTAGGGCCCCATTGATCTTCCCCATCTACGTCCTCGGGTTCATTTTGAAAAGGATTAGCGTGAACATCGCTATTATTCGCATTGGCTAAATCTTGCGCTCTAAGCGTCCCTTCTATCTTCACCGCAATAGCTTCCATAGCGGCAATCATTGATGCTCTCTCTTCAGGATCGGTGGGATTATCCAGTTCGTTAGGATTCACAATATGACCTACAACGTCTCCCGCTTTTATTATCCAAGGTCGTGTCGAAGGATTCGCTATTGGAATAAAAGGATTTTCCGAGGTCACCCAAGTAGTTGGTGAAGCTAAAACTGACATATCCTGGGTACCGATCATCATTTTCTCCACTAGCCAATCTGATCGTCCATCGAACGAACCTTTAACAGGAACGTTGTGAACCGATCCCGGAGAGATGATCGTATCTTGAGCAGCTAGAACCGGACTTGGTTCTTCCGGAGAACGTTTTGCTCTAGCTTTTGAGCGTCTGTTACTTTTCCGTCTGATAAAGGCTTTGGCAACGTTCGCTTTACGTATCTTGAAGCCCAAATCGGTACTTCGAGCAGTTGAAGCTGGAATCACCATCGAAGAGCGTCCCACCGAAATACCACAAAGGCCAGTAGCATTCCTGACAACGCCCAATTCGTAAGAAGTTTGAAAGTCTTCTCCCAATAGTAAAGGAGATTTCATATTCTTAACGACGTATGCTTCAACTTCGAACTTCACGATATTCTCTTCCTCAGTTTCCATGAACATTGGAAAGGTGACGTATCCAAGAGCTTTGGCTTCGCTGGTTAATTGGTACAGCCTCAAACGTAACCCTTGTTTAGGTTTACCTAGCTCTGGCATGGATTTCCACAGTTCTTCTGACATGAGCGTGATATCCGCTCCAGAGTCCAACTTCACATCGATAGATCCCTTTTCTAACGAACTCAATCTCGCCTTAGCATGTAATGCTTTGGTCCCTAACGATCCTAATCCTTCTGGGAATGAACGATACTTCCGTGCCACTATCACCTTTTTGCCTTCGTCAAGTATCTCTTCGACTTGATCGGTTGAGTGAGCTAGTCGTTGTAAACGACGTCGAGAGGTTCTATTGACGGTTTTGGTCGCACGATCCGGATTGGTTTCCTTAGAAAATAGTCGAGCCCGACGTTGATTCCTATTCAAACTCTTCTTACTCTCTTCCGGATTTGTTCTTACTTCATTAGCATCCACATTCCGCTCCGAAGACAAAGCGCGCGAAGAGGCCGAAGCCATAGATTGAGTCAATGACTGTACATACATACGATCTTGTGATTCTATCTCTGCTTGATTGATTTCGACTTCAAGAAGATGAGCATCGCGTAAGGCAGTCCAGGCTCCGAACTTTTTGCACTCGCGAGCCCAATGATATGGAGAAGTGCAGATATAGCAGTTAATACCTTCCGGCATATTCGAACTCTTGACCGAATCGTCTCTCGAAAAATCCACTCCTTTCACGTTTCTTCCTTTCGGCCATTCCTTTCTCTTCCTCCTACCACTAGTCGCTACGTTACCTTCCGCATCAACAGTAACTTCTTCTGTCCCGTCTCTCTCTTCATCTGATTCGTCCTCCGGGTCAGAATACGTTTCTTCGGACTGTTGACCAGTGGAATCGACGTTAAGGGCAGAACGAGCACGATAGAATGCGTTCTTACCCCCATTGGAATTATCGGATTCGTTGGACGATTTCCTGGTCGATTTCCAGGCTTCGATTAGGGTGTCTTTATGAATCTCGGCCAGTTTCTGTAGTGACAACAAATTTGGACAAACGGCTGGCGAAATAAACGGTAACCAACCCTTTGGCGTATTCTTCAATAAGAGTTTGATGAATAATTCCAGTCCTACTTCTTCGATAGGGTAAATAAAATCGCAGTAGCGTTTTTTACGTCGAAGGAACTGTACAGGGGTTTCTCTCTCTCTTCCCCGTTGCCTGAATCTCATATTGTTGAACTCGATAGTCCTATCCTCGACCCAATTCGTAGTCAAGAAGGCTTCCTTGATACCCGCTAGTAAATGAGTCCAGTCGAACGCTAAGAAGGAACGATCCTTGTCTGATAAGGTTAACCACCAAGTGCTAGCTTCCTCCTTGAAGCGAAACGGACCGTATAGACCTAAGTCCTTATGCATCACAGGAGAAAGATGCGCTAGTTCGTTCATTTTTGCAATGTAGTCTATAATGGATAATGGACCACCATCCCATTCCGGTACGTCAGAGAGACTAATCTTGGCGTTCAGTTGCCATTGATGCGTATTAAAAGCGTGACTATCGCTATCCAAATGGGTCTTCGAGTGAACAGAACAAGGATCCTTTGGGTCTTTGGATTCAACGGCGACGCCGTTCCCGTTAGGATCAGGATCTCCGTCGGGGGGACCATTACCTCTGTTGTTATTACCAGAGATGTTATGGTTCCCTCTATCTGCTCGTCGGGGATCAGGAACATTGTTACCCCTACTATTTCCTCGGCCGTTGTCATCTGGATCATCGTCTCCATCATCATCAGGAGGACTTCCGTTACCGGAAGTAGCACCTCGTCCTCGCACATTCCCGATACTATTGTTGTTATTTCGGTAAACGCGATAAGGATCGTTGTGCTGAGTAGCGTGACCATACGAATGCGAGGTCCAACTTTGATTAGCGGGAATGTCGTTTTTATCCACTGTGTTCGCGAATGACGACAATGGCCCCCCAGATCTTAGAGTGCGAGCTTCTTTGATTAGTTCGTCTAAGGTAGGCATACGTCGTCCTGACATGTTTGTAACCAAGTTGTCCGAGACCTTGGGACCAATCTGCTCAGGAGCTGCAGAAGGACGAGGCATAGGAGCAGCGCTTCCATCTCTGTAAGTAAAGGTCGACGCGCGTGAATCCGAAGCGTTGGAACTCTTCATCCGAGTTGAGGTGTTGACAGCATCTTCTTGAACTTTGTACTTATCGTCCACCACTTTCCTAACAGGTTTCCGACGATTCTC